TCCTTTCGAACTTTGGAACAAATTTTACAATAAACCGCAAAAATGATCACGAAATGCTTGATATTTTTTAATTCTACACTCTTTAATTATCTTAAATCAATTACTTTTCAAATTTTTAAATAATGATTTACAAGAATTTTCTTTTTTAAAAAAATTTTCGCATGATGTGGCTGAAAATACATATGGTATTTGTCTCTATTTTATGAATGTTATGACAGAGAACTGTCAAACTGTTATCACATGTTCGGTGTCTTATAAGGACTTTACATTGTAAATAGTATGCAAATCTGCTTAATTTATAATGCTTTCTTTAGCATTATAAAATGTAACATTATTGTCCTCAGTATCATTTGGCTAATTTTAGTTATTAGCAATCTTTCCTTTAATTTATAAATTAGCAGTTTTAATATTTTAATAAAATATAAAATTATGTCCGAATATAATATTGACAAGTGTAGGTATATTAATTAGTAAGAAATGACTGAAATGAACGTGATTATGTATTAATAATATTATGAATGTTAATTATTACAAACAACGCATTTATTACTAACACCCCATATTATCGTTTTGATCCAAGTAATGTAAGAAGCTACGTGGGTGTAGACCGAAGGCATGTGACTGGTACCGCACGGGTAGATTCCCCATGAAGTAATTCCAACTAGAGTGGGAACGTTGTTTTCAAATTGAACCAATGGACCGCCAGAGTCACCCTACATGAAAAATATTTAATTATTAAAGATATTGTACGAAAAGAATGTTTAGAATTTAATTATCTAATTCTCTTTGTTGTAACACTAATAACAAATTTAGACATGCAATAGTAATAATTATATCTATATAATATGTGCATATTATACACTATACATTATAACTTAACTTTACAATATTTTTAGACAGATTAAAATTAAAATTTAGTGCCGTTTTGAAATAGATTAACAAAATAACTGATTAACAGATAATACGACGAACGTTAGATAATACTTTCTTAAAATGAAATCTCTCTTCGAAAAAATTAAAATACTGCCACTACTGAAAAAGAGTGAAAAATTTGCACTCTTGAATAAAAGGGGCTGATTTTCACTCTTTTTTTGAAGTGAGATTTCACACTTTTAGAATAAGATTCACTTCAAAAAAAGAAATGAGATTTCTTTCCTTTGGAATGAGTCTAATTCTAAAAAAAAAGTGAAAATCTGCCATACTTATTCAATTAAGACTAACTCTTTTGGATTGAGACTTCACTCTAAGAAATTTAGAGAATATAAAATCAAGAATGAATATTCTTTTTATAATCACACATTTATAATCGTAGTACTACGTTTACGTAATTATTTGCAAAAACAAGAAAAAGTATAAAAAGTATAAATTTTATTTACAGAACAAGCGGATACTTCATCAACAGCAGCAGTGCAGATTTGTGAATCGTAAAGTTGCTTTGCTCTACGGTTTTTGGAAAACTCATCTTGACAAGATTTACTGTCCAATAATGGAACAGTAACTTTTTGGAGAACATTAGGATGTCTTGGAATCCATGTCTTGGAAACTGAGCCCCATCCAGACAGCACAGCACTTCCAACTTGTACCTCGTCATGTTCAGGTAATTTGACAGCGGATACCCACTTGTTAAAAGTGAGAGGAGTTTTAAGTTTCAAAAGAGCGATGTCGTATGGTGCAACACCTCTGTAAAAAGCAATATAATAAAGTTTAAAATATCGTAATCACGTTTCAGACTCATTATCAGTTGAAAAAACGCAGATATCAATTGCGAAGAATTTATCAAAGGAATAGTGATAAATTGAACCATGACATACATTATGAATTGTGAAATGATTGTGTATGATATTTAAGTACATAAATACTTTTATAAATTCTCTTGGAAACAATTAAATCTATATCTACCACATTTCAAAACTGTTTTTAATATTTTAGATATAATCTACATTTGTAATCCTAATATTTTAAATAAAATCTACATTTGTGGTTTTACAATATTGATTAATCATTAACATTTTAATTTATACACATATATACACATATATAGTGTCCCATAACTCACCTGACAACGCTCGTGAGCAGGTAGAGCGGATTAAATTGAGTCGAAAAGTCCTCTACTATTTTATAATTTTCGCAATAGTTAACAAGATATTAACTACTAAAAATTGCCGAATATTGGTCTTCAATAATTTTTTTCTCAAATACTATCAATTTTACAAAAAAACTGCAAGAAACAAAAATTGTTTATTTTCTTCTCATAGAACTCTAAACAATTTTTCAGAATTTTTTATCAACTTTTTAGTACTGCATTTTCTTATTTTTACCATCATGAAAATCCGGTATTAAAAAATTCTGAAAAAATTCTCAGAACTTTATGAGAAGAAAATAAACAATTTTTGTCTCTTGCAGTTTTTTTGTAAAATTGATAGTATTTGAGAAAAAAATTATCAATAATTATATTTTAAATAATATATATAAGAAATACTTTTTATTATGATATATTTACGATTAAATTTTAATTATTATATATTAAATGATTTTGTAACAAACTATTACAGATTATTAGTACGTTTAGTAAAAAACTTTGAAGCGATATATCTCAGAAACCAGAAGAGTCTGCATAATTCAAAGTGTGCGCGTCAAGACTCTGTGAACTATAATTATAAGTAAAATTAAACTGATCAATAAGGTGTAACATTTTCTCCAGTTTTATGGAATTCTTACTGCATTAATTGGAATTCTGGTAAATTCAACCAGAAAGGTACACATCAGATATTTATATAGAATAAGTCGGTTAAAGCGTTACAAGTTTATTTTTCGGGAAGCATTTTAAAGACCTTTATGTGATCTTCATACGATTATCCACAGTTAAACCAATGACATCTTATGTTCTTCTCGAAGTCAGAAGAATTTTTGTATCTATATTATTTCTCTCTAAAATGCTTTGTTTCCAAGATATAAATTTCTAACATTTTAATTGATTCACTCTATGTATTTAAATTTGTCAATCATTCTAATCGAGATAATTAAAAATTCAATTATGAATTCCGATTTATATGATCAGAATTTTATTCGTACTTCTTGTTGGTATAACTAGAACATTTTTCCTAATGTAGAATTCCAATTTCTGAAATATTCATTTTTAACTGTAAATAAAAATAATAGACATACCCTGAATAATTTTTGTGCACATAAATCTTAGCAACATCAACTTCTTGCTGAGTTTCCTCATCTTCATAAAGATAATGCTTGCCAACGATGACTTTAAGTTTGCCATATTCCATGATGCAATGTCCCGCAGTTAAAATAAAACTCTCGTGTACAATCGAACCACCACAGATGTGTCTAAAACGGAATAAGGGTGGCAAACCCCATTGAAGAGAGACCTGATAAGGGAATTCTTCTGGTGTGGCATTCTCACCATCTGTGATTCTGGGTTTCAGGCCAAAAGGGACGGCCAGACATGCTATAAAAATGTTTAAGAAAACTTTAAACATATAATTCTTCTAGACATATAATTATATTTTTGCAAAGTTTGAACGTTTCATTTTATATAGTGTTTATAATATATTTGGCGTCGTTTTTATTGCTTAGATAAAACTTTTTCATAAATAAATCTTTCATTTAAAAGCACATAATATTCTAGATATTTACTTAATTTTGTATATAATTAAGGGAAATTTTTCATCAAATGTTTTATTTATTAAATCAATAATTCTCAGACACAGTGTATTTATATTTAGATATATAATAATGTTATATATATGAATGTTATGTCCGTCCGTTCGTTTCGTGCGTCCGCGCGACCGCCTCGCGGAATTCGCTCACGTCGCGAACACGCTCTCCCGAACCGCCGAAATAAATACTCGAAAATAGAAAACAATTAGATGTTTATTAACGCAAAGCACAGAGCAGGTCACAAACGAAACACAAAGCCAAATAAATCGTAAATATATCTCCGTGGAAGATCTCTCTCCAGCTTCTCTCCAAGTCTGCTGAAACAACCAAAACTAGTCGCCGGGCAACGCGCTCTTCTTCCTTCAAGGACGGCGAACTCTTGCGTATAGCGGGCGACGACACAATTCGGGCATAACAATATATATGTTATATATACATATACATATATATATACACATATAAAGATGTGCAAAAAATAAGTATTCTTACCCTGAAATACCAGAACAGTGGCTAAAAGACACTGAATCAACATTGTCAGTATGTTAGCAGTTAGTTGAACAGAAGCACTGAATAAGACCTTACGATTTATGTAGTACGAAATAGCGGAAAATATCTCGTGATAAGGTATGCGTGTATTTTGGATTTATCTTGATAACGCAACTTCTTCTTGAACACATAGATAAGCAAGCATTGACTGTTTTTTAATCATCAATTTGTTTCTTAAAAAAGATATCTTCTTAATAATTAATCTTTAAGTATATTAACGCTAGTCGATTTTATCATGTAATTATTTTATGCTAGAAATTCATCTCTATCTTTATATAATAGTATAAGAACACTTTTATTTGTTGTATTACGTGTTTTATAATACATTCAAATTAAAATTAAAAATCGAACTAATAACCTGATATGTAGTTTTAATAAATAAAATAGGACGATTCTTAGTGCACTATTATTTGTACAAAAGTAATTGATACTAATATATAATAAAATAAATAATAGATACATTCATATTATACACATTTTCTTCACTAAACTATAAATATAATTCTGTTGTGTATACAAATATACTTCACATAATCTACAAACAGAAATATACAAAAATAAACATATTTAAGGCAGTTACGAATTTTTACAATTTAATCAGAACATTTCTTAAAATATAATTTTTTATTTTAATTAAACTCTATAATTAAATTTTCTAAAAATAAATTCAGAAAGTAATTTCGTATAAGAAATTCAAAATCTGTTACAGCACTCCTGTAATTTTTGTAACTCAAAAATTGATAATATAACAAATAAGCTATATTCTTTTAATTTTTAATGAAATGTATGTTTATCTTTCATTGTCATCTCTTATAGCTCAATTAATTTATTTTAATAACAATACGAGTGCTGATTTCTCTATACAAATGCCGTATGTACCCTGTCCATTCATATCAATTGTGTAGAAATAAGAAATGGATAAAAACCCACAACTTGTAATTTATAAAGGTTGTTGATCCAGTTTCCGTTATCTGGATTAAAAAGTGAACGTTCGAACACTAAGTACGCATCAGAAGCGTAAAAAACATAGATTTCACGAGTTGCAAGTAACTAAACGAGCGATCGCTCGGATTCCTGCCCAAATTTCGCGTGCAGTCGGAACTATTTGAGTAGCCGGTAATAGGAATCCATAAGTTCCGCGATCGCGTAATTCCACCGTGTATGCGTATTTTATCGAGGCCATACCTTTAGCCCAATCGTCGGACGCTCCTGCAGACAGAAAAGAAACTCATTCTCTCCATGACGAAATATTGTGAAATACAAACTATTATCTTATCTTAATATCTGATTTTCATAACAGCCGTTCATTAAACCAACATAATCTTTCATATAAATCAATTTAAAGAGTATACTAAAATTAAAATAATAATAAAGTATATACCAGAAGTCAGATACATTAGTTCTGTTGCTGGTCCAAGTTGATAATTAGTGCCGTGAACTTTCGAAATAGCGTTAATTGCCTTTCTCGCTATGTTCATTAAATCGGAATAATCCGACGGTTTCGAACGTGTGTAACCCCATGGTACGAGCCACATTTGAGAATAAGAATGCAAAGTCAAGTACATTCTGAAAACGTAAATTTAGCATTTGGTATTATTATACAATTAAAATGTTTACATTAAATATTTAAAATGTATTTGAATGATAAATTTAAATTAATTAAATGTTGATTTGACAATTACCGAATATGTTGTTTGTTTGCCAAAATATAATCTGCCATAGCCTTCGTTTCAGGTTCGGAAAAGGCGAAAGGCCCGGAATATGTTTCGTGACAAGGATCTGAACTGGCACCTCCTTCTTTATCTTCGCCCCAGTGGTATGCAAAATTTCGATTCGGATCGACTCCTTCGCATGTAGTCCAGAACCATCTAGTATAGTGCGTTACGAATTGTAATAAATTGGATGGTGTATATCTAGAAAAGAAAATCACGCACTATTTTTGTTAAACCCACGCGAAACTCTTAACTCTTACAGAGATTAGCAATCTAATCTTCCAAAAAGCAAAAAAACATTTTGAAACATATTAGTACTATTGCAGTAACGTTAAAACGTTACAGCATTGCTGTAATGTTGCTAAAACGTTCCAAAGTGTTTCTTGCTTACTGGGTTAATACTAGCTAATTTATTACTGAAACACAGTAATTCATTACTTATTTATTTGGAGTACTAAAAGTACTAAAACAACAGTGTAAATACTTAAAATGAGAGTAATTAATTATTGTCTTCTATTATTATCCAATATTAGATATATGTAAAGAAAATTTCTTCGTTGCATAATTGATTAGATATACGATACGACTATATAATAAACTTTATAAAACAATGTCTTTCAATTCAGACAACTTTGTTCTTATCCTAAAATTTAAACTCTCATTTTTTTTGGCAATTTAATCTTCAATTTCCCTGAATATATATAACATATCGCTTTTATATACATATAACACTATCCAACAGAATATTATTTTTTTTTGTCTTTGGCATGTGGAGTATCATTTTTCGAAGATTTTTGGCCGTTAGATTTGAATCCGTGATCAGAAAAATTCTATCACGTCACATTTCCGAGAAAATTGAGATAATTTAGACGAAAAATGACGATTTTGGCCATATTTAGAATAGTATTGCAGTTAAAGAAATTTTATTTTTTCAATTTTATTTACACTATCTTAAAGTGCTATCTTTTACCTTTAAAATGAGTTTTTTTTGTTTTTGTACGTTTTTTTATGATCAGGTTACGTAGGTTTGAAGTTAGACATACGCTGCTTCGCGTTGTTGCGCACTACATGTTCATTTGGTACGAGACACACTACAGTGTTTCTTGATCATGTATAACTGGTAAGTGTCATTTTGAAGTGTATTTATTAGACTTGACATTCCGATGGTTAGCATAACAGTTGTTAGAAGATCATTCAGCTACAATAAGTGTTTCCAGAGTGCATAACCTGGAGACGATCTTTGTTACACTTCGCATAAAAATATACTTCAGAAATGATACATCGCAAATCAAAGACAAAATCAATGTCGGACAACGTAATAAAATCAAACAAATATTACTGATATTAATCGATTAATTTAAGACTCTGCACACAAATGCGGTGTCAAAGCAAATATTTTTTTTCCTCTCCTCACCTACTATCGTTTTGACTTTCCACATGATTGCTTCTGGTTTTCCGCCAAAAGCGATCGCTGACATGGCTATATTCGTAACCATCGGGATTAACAACCGGCAGAATCATCCAATCCGAGTTATTCAACAATTTTGTGTAGCTCGAGTTCTTCTCTACTAACTGACTCAATATGTAGGTCGCTACTGCGGTACCAATCCATTCTCGTCCATGCATGCCTGCGAAGACGATGATGGTTTACCGAAAAGATAATCTAACGGGACGAGACGTGTGTAAAACGTGGGAAATATACGGGTTCGAACTCAATAAAGAACGGTTGACAATAATTTTTATAGCCACAAGTTGTTTATAAAAAAAAGCTTTTACGATGTTTTAAAAACAATAATTAAGAGGGAAAAGTTTTTAAAACTATTTTTATTACAGTATTAATACGTATAATTTATTATTTATTATTTATTCACAATTATTCTTTTAATTAATATTCTCTTTCTTATTTGTATTAAAAGAATGACTGTCTGTATAAAAGGAACTTACCGGCATCAATCCAAATAGCAGGTTTTTTTTCGCCTTCTTTGTTTAATCCAGTCGAAACCTTCGCCATCTTTATCGGTTGGCCCTCGTAACTATGTCCGATAGTTATTAATTCTACTATTGCAGGATATCTGAAGGCTAGATGTTCTAAATAACGTACGATATCTGTTAAAAAGAAAGCCAATTTATTAGATATGTTATTTAATTAAGTTTATTTATCCATTTATGTACGTACATATGTAAAATAGAAATTAGTTGATGTTTATTAAAAAAAATTATTTATATACATCAAATTAGAATTAAAAATATTAGTATTATAATATAATACTAAATATTAAACTATACATTTCAAATTAATATTAAACACATATATATATATATTAGTTTAGTACGACGTAAAAATATCTTACAACATGATTTTACCTCCATATCGGTGATAACGTTTCCAAGTCATTGTGTGGCCTTGGATGGTGACCAAGTCTTCACGTTGTTCTTTAGACATCTTCGGATTTTGATAAGAGATCGTCTTCTGTTAATTAAAGAAAGCGTATTTCCTTGATTTTTACTGACTATACTTAATTTAAACTTGCATTTTAATTAAGTCTATTAATCATGTCTACAGCAAGATTTCTCTTTTCTCATACACTGACCATCAGTCAACGTTTAAATAACGATTAACACATGCAATAACGAAAACCTTTGATCCAACATTTTAATATAATAAGTGATAATTTATTCGTTACTTTCATGCTTTTTGCATTTGAGTGTAAGAAATCATTGAAAAGATTGTAAGTAAAGCGTGTCAGCATTAGATATGGACATCAGCTGTTACTGGAATTTTCTTCCTATCGTAAGAATTATAAATAATGAGAGACCAATTTTGTACAAATTAGTAAAGTATAATTAAGATGTCATTGAGTGTTTTCAATCATTAATAATATTGAAATTTTCTATACAGGTGTCCTCGAACATTTTGGCCAGACTTTGAGATTTTATAGGAAATTTAATTTTAAACAAAAACTTTTCTGTATACATGAGCTTTTTGTATAGATTAAATTTCCTATAAAATTTCAAAGTTTGGCCACAAAACGTTTGGAAACACCTCGTATATGTACAATATTTTTAAGAGCAAAAAGGTTAATTTTTCATATACTTTTATGTACTTTTTGTGTGAAAGTTCTGTATTATTTTTACCTGAATATCTGATATTAATACTTTAAAATTAATCTTCTTATCCCTCAAATAATCCTTAACGTCATTTACGAGATCTGGTGCCACAATCATGTCGGAAGTTCTATAAAAGGAAGTGTGGATATAGAAATATGTTGTAATTAATTATTATAATAAAAATGCGAATACAAACCTATTAGGATTTGGAAAGGACCAAAATTTAATATCTTCAGGCTCAGCGTCTCTTAAATCACGCAAATCTGTGGCTTGATATTCCGTGTTAGGAAATGCCCTGATTAAATGATAATTTTTATAATTTATTCTTCTGGTACCTGACCGTGAATCCTTTTTCTCAGTACCAACAATACTGCTCACGACTGTGCTAAGTCCGCTTGCTACGACGGACAGCATGGATTCAACGAGGCCAAATAGAGAAAAACCTCTGTAATCATCATCGTCCCAGGAAAACTCTCTGGGTGTGTTCTGAAGATGATTACTTGCTTCAGCGAATAAGAGTCTTTCTTCTTCTCCGTCTTTGGAATTCAAATACGGATGCATTTCTTGATTGTTGCGGACATCCTGCAAACTATATGTCAATTATTATTTGCATTTTTTATGTTGTAAAATAATTTTTAACTTTTTTTATATTAATTATATTAAATTTAACCTTTTTTTATATTAATTAATTATATTAAAATTTAGTGACATTCTTTATTAGATTACGAAAAAACACCTAATATCTTTGTAAATCTTTTTAAATGTAAAGTTTAAAAAAGTTTCATAACATATTTCAAAACTTTCATAACATTAAAGAAATAATTACTTTGCTTATTATAAATTCCATTTTAAATTTCAAATATTACAAACATATTCTGATTATATGAGGATTTATAAAAATGTCTACCAGTCTTGACATTTGTGTTTTTGAAATGCTAAGTGTACCCTTCTCGTGTTCGCGTAAAACTCATTGATTGAAATATTTTCTTTATTAACTACTTCAGCAAAACAATATAACATTCTTTCATAATTAATGTATTTTTATATATAATCTACTTTCTCTCTCTCTCTCTCTCTCTCTCTCTTAGAAAAACTCTCTTAGAAAAAAGAACTAGAACGGTTAACAGACATATAGCGAATGCAAAGGCGCATCTTAATTAACATGATTGAACGTTATTTAGCAAAAGTAATATGTAAAAATCACTGAATAGAAGTTGTAATCGAATTAAATGTGAGAAATGACAGTAATTACATTTTCTTATATAACTAAATTTTAATTTGTAATATTTGCTATATTTTTTTGCAGAATGGAATATTAATATAAACTTAAATTCTTTTCTTCTTTTTCTTTCTCTAAATGATTTAAGTATTTTAGAGAAAAACAGATAGATACAGAGAGAGAAAAGAAGAAAGAAAGAGAAGGAACTTTTAAAAAAATTATTAAGTTAAGCTTCTTTAATATTTACATTTATCTCCGAAAAATATATTAAAAAACACTTTGAAACGACATAGTATCAGTAATCCCTGACTAGAAACAAAATCCTATTAATCTTTGAAGATCGTTATATTACGATAAGATATTAAAATCAATTCACGTATTCATTAAACTGTCCAACAAGCTTCGAATTATCTATCAATGACACCAACCCACTTTCCTTATCCAGTGTTTTTTCCTTCTTGATTATCCTCTGCTCTAAGTGATCATATTGCAGATGTTTCACCGTGTAATTACCACGATACGAAATACTGTTTGCCGGATGCGGCATGAGAATCCCCGAAACTCCGAGGATCACGCACAAGATCGACTCGACGCCGGCACTCATAGCGTGCTTCGATCGCGCCAAGAATGCTCGATCGTCTTGAAAGTTCCTTGTTGACTGGCAAACCCGCAGCCGGAACCAGTTGCTGGTTCATACGGCCACATGAAACACGACGGTTTCACTGTTCTGCCTTACGGGCTTGGATTACGGGATTTCATTTCTACACTAGATGACGTTCATTCTTCAGTAATGCAGCGGATCAGAGGCTTCGGGGTTAATAGATGGAATATTTGAAACGTTAGAGGAGAGGTCAAATACATTTATCGACGTCGGCTTACGGTGATTTAAATCAATGATAACAGTTTGCAACAGTAGTAAAATCTAAACGGTAATGACATTATACTTAGCACATTGTATCATTATCTTTGATGCTAATTAATAGTTTTTCAAAACGAAAAAAATTCAAATTTTATAAATATTTGATAAAATAATAGTGATTTGTATATAATGTACCTTATAGTATATATTGTATATACAATTATAGACTATTTATACAATTATAATCTATTCAAATTTAATGTCTCTGTTTTTCTTATTTCCTGAAAATTTGTTTATTATTTTATTATCATAATTTATGTTATTATTTAATTTCGATTTTTTGTGCCTAATGCAAAGAAGAGAAAATGATCTCTGTGTTAACAAATAACAAAATAATAGAATAGTACAAGACAAAATTTCCAAGTATATTCTGGTGAATTTGTTTGACATATACGACGAGATACGTAGTAGGTCAGTAAGTTTGCCGTTAGCAAAACACGTTTTCATGATCAGTGTTCAAACAACCGTAACTATATGTGTTAAATCCACTTTTCTAATAATGGTTTTACATAATTACTGCAGTTAAAACAACTTATTTAAAAATCTAATTGTAAACACGTGTAGATGGAAATATTAAATACATTATTTATTATTATTAAAATCTTAATTTCTCCTTACATTAAATTTTTCTGTTTTACACGTCAATAATTGATGGGGAATATACGAATATATAATAATTATGAATGACTTTTTATAATAATTTACGAGATAAAATTACTAGAAGAAAATACAATTTATACAACATGATAAGATTAGTAAAATTCTTTCTCTCATAATTTTAGTAATAACATAGTATAATAATTTAGTATCTGTGTAATAAAAACCAAGATTAAATCTTTGCTAAGTAAAATGATATCTCCTTTTTAAATCCGAAATTGATATAAACAGTAAATAATACAATATTTATAGAAGCGACTTAATATTTTGCGGTCCCACGTATATATTACATCTAGTTACATCTGACTGTAACAAACTATACCTATGATACGAACTGAGCCACACATTTTTTACTATAAATACCATGCATTACTATAAATGCCATTTAATTATACTGTTCATATTACCATTTAATACAATTGTTTTTGTATTGTCAAAAAACATTTTGCTTATATCTTTATCTATAACAATTACTTGCAATAATAAAAGATAATGATGTATATGTTAAAATTTGTGCAACGGCATTATGGACCGTAAATTATATAATAAAATAGCAGGGTAAATATTAAAATCAAAACACGCTGTGAATATGATTTATTGTTATTACAACTATACGCGCGTACCCATGCGGCACGCAACGGTACAATTATTGCGCAAACGTACACAGAATATAATAGAGTAAACAAGTATATAATAATATTAATAATAATTATTATAATGACTGAATGTTAAATTAATGTTACGCTGTTAGTCGGATTCGGACGCGTACGAAAGGAAATCTAAACGGAGAAGAAAGGGCAGACGGACGATGAAGAGAAGAAAGAACGCAAAAGAAGACACGGTCGGTTCTCTCAAACGGGCCCTTAATCCTTTCAACGGCATCCAATCGTTTCTATCGTTTCGAGATGTCATTTCGAGCCCATCATTTACAAGACAAAGCACATTACAATCATTTTACATCTAATCTTAGCACGAAGTGATGTACCTCGCGCTCGCCGCCATTGAAGGGCCAAGCATACCCGGAAAGGGCTCCCAAGATCACCGTTTAACCTATTTCTTGATCATCGAATATACAGTACGAATTTTGACTAGCACATTGCGTAACTACGGGTCCTCCCTCTCGCGATCGTCGAGGAGTTCACGGAGAACGGAGAAAACGCCGAAGCTTTGACCGACCTTCGTTCGGAAGACAAAAGTAGAAGAGAAAATAGACTAAGAAGTCGACGACATCGAAAGGAAGGCCGGCCACCGCAGACACCGGCGGTCCATTCGCGCCGTCGTATTGTCGTAATTACAATATAATCGATTCGATTGTAATAATTGACTGCTCATCGTCGTGTTCGTCGAGACATAAAGCTCTTCGAGAATGAGCTCTCGACGATACACGAGCCCGAAATGGCAAGAATCTATGGATTTACCGAAAGAATACGCGCGATACTGCCTCGTCACGTGCATACTCCTCCTCAAATAGCATTATTCATCCCAACCTGCGTGATTTTCGAGCTGATCCTAAACATAGCATTGCTTCTCCCATGAGTCGCGAACTGTCATCCATTTCGCGACGGTTTTTTTTCAAGGTGTCTCTTTCAGGCCATCTTTTAAGGCGATTTTGTCTCGTGACGTATTTACAGTTATTTATAACATCATTCTTTCATACATCGAGGGAGCATGACACGGGGATTTTATACGTGCGTGTATGTGTATTGAATGTATAATATACTCTGCAAACGATGTAACATTCTCTGTCAAATATTACTCGAGAGTCTCAAGTATAACATGATAATATATGAATTTACGATGCTCGCGCATTATTAACGATCTACTCGTTATATAAATTTTATCGTAGATAGTTCGAAAAAATTAGAATTCTTAAATAAAATGCAATGATAGATTCTGATTATTTTATGATTATGTATTTTTATAAATTGCTATACTTAATTCTATAATAAAACATTTTTTTAATAAAAAAAATGAAAGTAAAAAATACTTTTCGAAGATAATAATCGCATTCCGATATTCATTGCCAGTGCACGTAACGTGTAGTATAGATTTTCAGTATTGGTCAGCGGTGAATATCGGAACGCAACCTAAATCGTATATTTAATACAACTTGGACCGTTCTGATTACTAAAGCGCGAACACATAAGTTTCTTTATTATTCGTATGATAGTTACATGTATGTAGTATGTGTAACAACGTGTAAATGTATTTGTATGTTATGCGCATAGATGTTTTCCGAAATCGAAAGCGCACTCAGTGTTGCGCGAGATACGCTCGTTTCGAATACTCGATGCTCTTCGTAGATCGCACGAAGAGCACGGTTGATTCTCTTCAACTATGACTACGAGCTATCGGTAAGTTCACGTGCGGTTGATTTATCATATCATAAGCGGGGAAAGGTGGCGAAATTATAAACTTTAAAATTTCGCACAGAAACTTCCGAAAAAAATATTAAAATATATGTGAAAAAAGAGAAGAGAGCGAAAACATCATTTAAATATATTTTATCGAAATATATCTTAAAATTTGAATTATTTGAATAATTGCTAAATAGTATATATGCTAAATTAATCTTATTATGAATAATACGCAAAATACTCATAATTTTATAATAATTTTTAAAGTAAAATAAAATAATTTTATTACATATACCAAATTTTTCCAACGCAGTCATTTGACCACCTTACCCTTCTTAAACCATACACATTATAGCTTCACTATTCGCTACGTTAAATCACAACAGTAACGATAATCATAACAACAACTTTCTTATCTTGACTGCATATTGACGCGAGGATGGAATCGATTCACGTATCGCTTCTCGTTCTCCTCGAATTCTCTTCCAAAGAGAGCGATCCTCGACCTCTTCCCAGCGTTATCGATAATTATATCATCCCTACTGTTTGCAACATGAATGTTCTACTGATTCAACGCTACGAAATGCACGAAGACTTATTACGAGTAGTCGGTTAATGATAATGATTAATTCGTGCAGCCATTTCCAGCAGATCTATTAAAAGGATCCACGTATGTCCTCCGCGTGTCAGCAGAATAACGATTTCATGAATCGATTATATCGATCATTCGTCCCGTTATCCCCAACTTCTCAGTCGTTTTGCCCTAAATTGAATTTTGCATTTTTTTTTTGCGCTAAAGATATGTGTCGGTATCGACTTTAAAGACGAAATCGTTAACAAATTCACGATGATGTTTGTGCCCGTTAGTGTTGGCGATTGTGGCGAGCAAGTAGTAATTCTTAAACGATGTTGGCTTTGGCGATAGAGTTTCCCATCATAACTTTGTTCACGAAATTTACGATAGCCGTGGCGGGTTGCTCTGGTTCTAATTCGGCGAACACGTGACACTGATTGTCCGATTTGTGAGCGGGTTTCCTTGCCACGAAGCCAAAGCAGCGACTAGAAAGAAAAATAATAAGTAAATTATTTAAATTTAAGACAAATATTAAAATTATTAAATTTCAACTTAATGATTAAATGCTTAAATAATTCGCAATTTTTGTATATAAGGTTTAGAATTATAATCTTTTCTTTTACACATAAATATATCAAATTTATATACAAATAAAATCATTAAGTAAATGTAAGTCAGAAAATATTTCTCAATCGTTATAATTCATAAGAAATCAAAAATTTAGATGATTTTATATATATATTTCTTGTAATATAATCTTATTTCTTAATCAAACAAAAACTTTGAAAACATACTGAGCGCTAAGAGGTCTTCCGGTATCTTCGCCGGTGAAGTCCCATGTGCGTTCTTCAGAGTCCAATCCGCAGTAACTTATATTATTTGTAGGATAATGTCGACGGAAAAATAACTTTCTTGCATTATCAGTCAAAGTAATGCCCTGCGTGGAAACTTTGAAGTGAACAATTGTGGCAACCGGTAAAGGCTTTTGCTCGAATAGATTGGTGATAGCTTTCTTGATGGCTTGTGGCC